GGGCAGCCCCAGCCCCGGGAGGACCCGGCCCGTCCACCCCTACCCCCACAGCAGCAGGGCGGGTGCCAAGTGTGCCCTGTTGGACGTGTGTGAAGGGGGTGCCTGGGGCGGGGGGTGCCCGTCGGCCGGTGGTGCAGGGGCCGCAGGGACACCGCCCCTGAGACGAGCCTCCCTCCCTCTCTCCCCCGCTCCTCTCCCCCAGGTAGCCGCCCCTTCTCCCTGCAGAGGTCCATGTCCCCCCTGTGCAGCCTGGAAACCATCGCGGAGGAGCCAGCCCTGGGCCCCGGCTCCCTGCCGCCGGCAGGCAGCCCCACCGGCCCCTCCCGGGAAGGGCCCCAGGGCCCCGCAGGGTGGGCTCCCGGGGCTTCTGTGCCCCTCCAGCTCAGGACTGGGAGCCCCAGGGACACTGAGGAGCCCCCAGAGGGCCAGCAGCAGCAGCAGCAGCCGTGCGGCAGGGGGGGCCCCGGCGGGGTGCGCGAGGGGGCTCCCGGCAGCCAGACGGACAACGGGACCCGGCCGCGGGCCACGGGCCGCCCGGCCACGATGAGAAGGGCCAAGAGTGAGGGGCAGGTGCCCACGGAGCCCCTGGGCGGGTGGCGGCCGCCGGCCGGGCACTCCCCCAGCCCCGCCGTGTACGCGGATGTCACGGGCAGTGACCGGCTGTGGCAGCGGCTGGAGCCCGGCGGCCTCCGCGACAGCGTGTCCTCGTCCTCCAGCCTGTCGTCCGGCGACACCGTCATCGACCTGTCCCTGTCCAGCCTGGGCCTGGGCTGCAGCCGCGAGAGCCTCCTCGGGGGCCCCGTGGGGCGCCTGCCCCTGCGGCCTCGCTCGGCCTCTGCCACCCGCCTGGACCCGCTGCCCGTGACCAAGAGCAAGTCCAACCCCAACCTGCGGGCCGCCGCCCAGCAGCCGCCCTCGCCCGACACGCCACCGCCCCGACCTCTGGTCCCGAGGCCGCCCTGGGGCCGCCTCTCCCTGGGGGGCCTCCAGGACTGCCCCGTGGCCACCAAGTCCAAGAGCCTGGGCGATCTGACCGCAGACGACTTTGTCCCCAGTTTCGAGGGCAGGAGCCGCGGTCTGGGGCCCCCCGGTGGGACGCAGCGGGCGGCGGGGCCCGGGGGACGGCCAGACGCCCTGACGGAGCAGCTGCGCCAGCTCACGGGCTTCCAGCGGGCCGGGGACATCACGTCGCCCACCAGCCTGGGCCCGGCGGGGGAGGGCCCGGCAGGGGAGGGGCCGGCGGGGGGCCCTGGCTTCCTGCGGCGCTCCTCCTCGCGCAGCCAGAGCCGCGTGCGCGCCATCGCCAGCCGGGCACGCCAGGCGCAGCAGCGGCAGCAGCGGCTGCAGGGGCTGGGCCGGCAGGGGCCCCCCGAGGAGGAGCGGGGCACCCCAGAGGGCGCCTGCTCCGTGGGCCACGAGGGCTGCGTGGACGCGCCGGCCCCCACCAAGGCAGCCCCCCAGCTGGGGGCCGGGGGCGCCGACGGCCTGCTGCTCCTGAGACTCTGACCCGCCCGGCGGGGCCAGGCCGAGGGTGGGGGCTGTCGTGTGTCAGGACACAGGGTGGGGGGGAGCCGTGGCCGTCCTCCCGCCCCTGCTCCCGGGGAGGACCCAGGACGTGGCCTCGAGGCTGGGCCTGCCAGGCCGTTGCCGCAGCATTTTGAGATGTATTTAGAGAGAGAGATTTAAATTTTTAGAGGCAAAAGTTATACGACATTAAAATGATACCAAGTCCTTTTCCACTTTTTCACCTGGTTCTTGGCTCTGGGAGTGTGTGTGTGCCTCTGTGTCCTGTCTCCCCGTCTGCCTTGTCCTGAACAAACGTCCCCTGCTGGACACCCCAGACTCTGTGACTCGCACACGGGGTCATGCCAGTTCAGCGTGGGGCTTCCAGCTTGCCCACCCACTTGTGTCCACTTGCCAGGTGCACCCGGGGGGTGGCCTGCCCTGCCCTGAGCCCTGCCCTGGCTCCCCCAGCCCTGCCAGCCCCTTCAGAAGGAGCCTGGCAGGACCCCCCCGCCACGTGCCCAGGGGCATCTGCAGGTGGAGCTGTGGGTGACCCAGGGTAGGGGTGTAGCAGAGTGGGGGCTGCTGCCGGGGGCCAGGGCAGAACTCAGCCCGAGGGGTCAGAACTCTGTGGACAGAGGGCCCAGAGCCCCAGGGGTGATGTGGCACACAAGCCTGGTGACCAAGGCCTCCCAGTGAGTCCCCAGGGGCAGTTCCCATGTGCAGGGCAGGGCTGGTGGGGGTGCGAGCCAGGAGTCTGCAGGAGCCAAGGAGGGGTGAGGCCACGGGGTGATGCTCTCTGCTCAGCTGGGAAAGGGCAGGGGCCTGGGGCAGCACAGAGGGTACCTGGCCCCGGTGGAGCCCTGCAGGGGTCCGAGAGCAGCGCTCAGCACCCTTGAACCCAGTCCTGGCTGCCCCTCCCTCCAGGCCTCTGCCCACCCCCACCCGAGGGCCCAGCTCTGGCTGAAATCCTGCAGTGGGAATGTCCCGAGTGTGGTCAGGCTCCAAGGCGATTGGGGCCGAGCTCTGTGGACGTCAGGGCCATGCAGCCCCACACCGGGGAGCCCAGCCCGGCCTGGCCAGCGCTGCCTATCCACTACCAGAGCTATCCCCAGGGCTGGACGGTGACTGGGCTGATGGGGGGTGGGGCTCTGCCCTGGCCCCCCTGCGGGGAGGGAGCAGGATGGAGCCAGGAGGACCCACCCGAGGACAGCCGCTGCCCTTGGGCTGCGCAGAGCCACACCTGCTGCCTCCTGGCCCCGTCCGGTGACCTGCTCCCCACCCCTCGGGCAGGTCACAAGGGGGCAGCACGGTGGGGGTGGGCGCAAGGGAGGCAGGAGGGGCAGAGGCGGGGGCTCAGCCTTGGGTGTGCTCCCTGCTCGGTGACCGGGCCCCCAGACCCCCACTCAGAGCTGTGCGGAAGGTGGTTGGGGACAGCACGTGCTCTGGGGCCCAGAGCTAGAGGGGCCTGGTGGGGGTGGGGCGGCAGACTGGCTCAGGCGCCAGGATCAGCCCCTGCCGCCAAGTCAGAGCGCGCCGAGCTCTCTGCACTCCGAGGGGCCTGCCTCCCAGCGTCACTCCGAGGAGGAGTCCTCTTGCTGCAGTGTGGCTCTACGTGGTCTCCGTCACACCCTGGGGACATGCCAGCTGAGGCAGGAGCCCCAGGCATCTCCCAGCGGCAGGCCCAGTGGCTCCCCTTGGGCCAGCTACCCCCACGCCACACCCACCCCGCCACAGGACAGGGTCCTGGGGACACTGGGCGCGGGCTCTGCACCGCTCTGAGCTGGGGTCCCCCAGCCCTGCTCCCTCCGAGAGCCCTGAGGGTGCCTGGCGCCCGTGGCCTCCCCGCCGGCTGGAGTCAGGAGCGCTGGCCGGCGCACCTGCTGGACAGACCCGTCAGCCGGCTCCTGCCGGGGAGGAGGAGGACGGAACCCGCGGGGACCAGGCGCAGAGGGGACGGGCACTGAGCTTGGAGCCAGGAGTTCTAGCAGCAGCTGGAGGGAAAGGCCCCTTCCCCCCGCGTCCCCACGGGACGGGCAGGCGGAGGGCCCCACCCCGCCCCGAACCCCTCCGAAACAAACGGCCAAAGCAGAGGCTCCGTCCTCACTCTGAAAACTCTATTTGGGGACGCCACGCGGCGCGGCGCCCGTCAGACGCACACGCATATATTTATATATTTTGTACATATATCAAAAGAGTATTTAACAGTTAAATATATCCCAGCACGAACGTCTCACAGGACAAGAGCCGCGTCTCCGCCAGGACGCCGCGGCGCTGTGCGGGCCGGGGTGCACGCGCCGGGCCAGAAGGGCGCCGTATAAATATTTTTACTGGACGGTGGCGGGCGGGTGGCGGCGGCGGTGGCTTCCCCGCCGGCGGAGAAAACACACGCCGGCGCAGTCCGCGGAGGCGGGCGCCTCACTCGCCGGGACCGTCGTACTGAAGATGACGCTGAGAGCCGGCCGCCAGCCGCTCGGCAGCCAGGCGTTCTTGATGACCGCCAGCTTGAGGCTCTCGCAGTGCAGCGCCCGCGTGGTAGTTGGTGTGGACGGCGCGGCCCATGCCTCCGATGACCACCAGGTCCGCGCCCGCTCCCGCACCAGCGCGGCCAGCCCCTTGTCCAGCGGCTTCGGGGAGGAAGGCAGCAGTGAGTGCCGGCGTGGGGGGACCCAAACCCGCTTCCCACCAGGGCAGAGGCGCGCGAGGGGAGGCCACACCCTCGGTCACAGGCATGGGGGCTTCCGAGTCCGGCCTCCGCCGCAGCTGCCTCCCCGGGCCTCACCAGAGCAGCCCCATCTTGAAAATACCTTGACACCCTTTTTGTTTATTTATTTTTTGAGACAGAGTCTCGCTTTGTTGCCCAGGCTAGAGTGAGTGCCGTGGCGTCAGCCTAGCTCACAGCAACCTCAAACTCCTGGGCTCAAGCGATCCTCCTGCCTCAGCCTCCCCAGTAGCTGGGACTACAGGCATGCGCCACCATGCCCGGCTAATTTTTTCTATATATATTAGTTGGCCAATTACTTTCTTTCTATTTATAGTAGAGACGGGGTCTTGCTCTTGCTCAGGCTGGTTTCGAACCCCTGACCTCGAGCAATCCGCCCACCATGGCCTCCCAGAGTGCTGGGATTTCAGGCATGAGCCACTAAGCCTGGCCAACGCTTTTTAATTTTCAACTTTAGAGGATCTTACCCCTTTTCACAGACTTTTTAGACCCTTCCTGTTGGTTAAGGAGGTTGGGACAGGAGCAGGACAGTGTCCCACTACACGGACCCAGGGCCCTGGGACGAGGACTCGCACTCGTTACTCGAGGGGCCCTTTTCCACTCCTGTGTCAGGAGGGCGGGAAGCGTTGCGTGCACTCAAGTACCCATGGCGGTTACGGACACACAGAGCCGTGCCGTTGCACGGGGACCCTGCCAGCAGGCGCCGGGCGAGGCTGCCTCAAACCCCGAATCCACCCACCCCCAGCCCGGGTCCCGCGTGGGGACGCCAGCCCCAGCCAGCCCCGGTCTGTGGTCGGGGTGGGCAGTGGGCAGCACTGGCTTCTGCGCCCGGTGCCGGGGGCTCAAGGCACCGCAGGGAGCCCGGGAGGGAGGGACCCGGGGACGGAGGTGCGGCCTTACCTGAGGTCGAGGCAGGGGGAGCTGGAGCCCGTCTGCACCAACAGCAGCCTCTCCTCTCTGAGCGCGGAGCTGCGGGGCACCAGGGGGTCAGTGGCACCACGGGAGCCCCCCCTTCCCGACAGCCCCCAGGACCCGCTAAGCCCCTCCCCACTCCCCCGCGAGGGGCTGCCCCCAGCACCGCCGGCTTACTGGACGACGGGGTCCATGGCCGCGATGCGCTCCGCCACGATGAGCGCCTCGCTGTGCGTCACGTCGTTCAGGGCGGGGCCCGAGTTGCACGCCAGAATGACCTGCGGGAGGGCCAGGCTTATGAGGCCCCGTGCCGCTGCCGCCAGCGCGGAGCCAGCCTGTGCCCGCCCAGGGAGGCCCGGCCAGCTGCTGGGGTGCAGGGACCCCGGCCCACCTGGCCGCTCCAAGCCTCGGGTGGGAGCCGACGCCCACGGCAGCGCCTGCTCAGAGCCCACCTTGCCGCGGGGTCAGTGTGAGGTCACGGCCCGCAAGTCTCTGCTCAAGCCCTGGGCATAAGCAGGTGGGCCCTGCTCCCTGGACCGGGGGAGGCTGGGAGCCGTCCCCCCACGACACGGCAGGCCCGGTCGCCCCCCGCCGTCCCGCCGTCTCTCCCGCACCTACCTGCCGCGGACCAGGAGCTCTGCCCGCCGCCGCCACGGGCCCGCAGCGGCGCCAACCCCACCAAGGGCAGAGGAGCCCGGGGAAGGGTCCCACCCACACACCTCCTCACTCACCTCCGTCCCTCTAAAGAGTAGCTCCCTGACAAAGGGGAAGACTCCCAAAATGATGTCTACTCCACTGTTATCTGCGAAAATTAAGGCACATTTATGAGGGGGCCCCTGCAAGACAAAACCAGGACGTTCAGTTGGGAACAGGCACGTCCAAGCGATTCAGACACCGCCTCCCGCCACGCTCCCCCGCAGGGGCCGGGACCAGGGGCCGCGGGGTCCCGGAGACACGGGGGTGCTCGGACGGGCCAGCCTGCCGCAGCTGGGGGCAGCCGGCCCAAGGAACGGTCGCTACAGGCGCTTGAGCACCACGGGGGGCACGGCACCGCTGACTCTAGGCTCGGGGCCGGTGAAACTCTAACGGGGCAGCCGCCCCGCCCGCCTCCCTCCTGGGCCCCCCCCCAGCTCAGGTCCCGTAACCCCAGGGCAGAGACGGGGGACACCCCCACGCACCTTTAGTCTCTGAAGCCACTTGCTGTAGGAGTCCACGAGCCAGGGCCGCTCTGTGTGAGACAGAGGACGCACGGTTAGGCCACGGGGCCGGCCAAGCCTGCGCGCTCACGAGATGCGCTTTCAACTGTTCATCTTCCGGGGGGCGGGTTCCCCCCAACACCCCGGGCTGAGGCGGCGAGGCCTCGAGCAAGGGTGCGCGTCTGCACCCCGACCATGCTACGCTCCCACGCGACTGTCCCGGCAGAGGCGCGGCGTGGGGGCGTCCGTACCTTGCAGCTTCTGCTTCGCTTCTTCAAACCCAAACTGCGGGTCGGATTCAAGGACACTGCGCGGAGGGAAAAGGAAGGTCAACAAAACAAAACCAGCAGCTTCGGCCCTCGAAGCTGACGTGGGACCCAGCGCAGAGCGGGGAGTTACTGACGGGAGTGGGCGCCGCCCCTGCCGACTGCTCGGCAAACCTCGGAGTCCACGGGGAGAGGTTTTAAAAGAATAGTAAGGATACTTCTCAAGGTGGATCATAAAATCTCAAGAGAGTCTCAGAAACGTGGGACGGGGATGTCCTTCCGTGGCCAGCAGCCACGGCACCGTCCCACGGCAGGGGCTGCGAGTGGGGAGCTGCCAGCCACGCCCTGGGGTGGGCCCTCCTCAAACAGGCCCACGTGCGGGCCACGGGCCATTTCCTGAAGGCCAGCAGGATGTGGGCGGGAGGGACGTGGACAGCGGACTCACGAGTCCAAACACACGCGCGTGGACCCAGGGGTGGGGGGCCGGAGGCCGGGGCCCGGCTGCTCTCGTGCGGGAGGCCTGCGCCACTCCCGGGGGGGGCACACGGGCTGTCTCCTGCTGGCCCCACGTGCAAAGGGAGGGCGGGGCGTGCAACGTGGCGGGGCCCCTGGGGAGGCCGGGGAAGGAAACTGAAGTCATCACTGTGGAAACGGTTCATTTTGAGGCTACCCACAGACTGCGAGCCCCGGGGGAACACTCCATGTCTGGGGAGCTCCTCTGCCAATTCACACGCTGATACCGTTAAATTCCTACAGTGCACGATAAACGTGAAATGAGACTAGCCACTGAAAATGTCAGCCCCAGATCTCAAATCCACGGCCCTAGACCTCCACTGCCCGCACGGCCGTGGGAAGGGTGTGGGCCCAGCACAGCCCGGGCTTGCGCACCGAGAAGCCCAAGCAGCACCAAGTGTGCCATGACCTCCCCACCTCCTCGTGGGCAAGGCAGGTGGCCAGGCCACGCAGCCTCCGGATGGGCCACGCAGGCACAGCCCGCCTCGCGGAGACCAAGGCAGAGCGGGAGAGACCGCGGTACCTACTCGGACACAGCCTTGGCCCCCCAGTCGAAGACGTTCCCCGCCAGCAGCCCTTTCACGAGCGCCAGCTGCCGCTCCTCCCAGCCCAGCGCGTCCAGGGAGCGGATCACGCCGGGGAAGCACTTCAGCGCAACGCCGTTCTCCTGCTGCTTCACCTGCGGACAGGAGGGGAGCCGTGTGCTCAGCACACCACGGCCAGCGCCCCGGACCGCGTGCGCGGGCGGCCGCTCCGCACGGACAGAGCACGGGCACACAACATCCCCTCCAAGCCTGAGCGCCCAGATCAAGCCGGGGACGGCCCGCCCGACTCGGAGCGGGGCCCGTGGCCGGTGCTGCCGCTGCGCCAGCCAACACCGCGAAGTGGGGCTCCCAGGACCAGGCTGGGAGAGCTCGGCCCCCACGTGACTGAGCAGTGGCCGAGACAGGCAAGGTGGAGCCTAACGTCCACGCCCGTGACACCCAGACCTGCCCGTCACCAGACACGCTGCACGGGGGAGGGCGGGACGCAGCGTGAGGCTCGTCCTCACAGAGGTCACGGGGACCTGCTGCCTCCCGGCCGGAGGGTCCAAGAAGGAGGGTGGAGTGTCCCGGCTCCACCGCCAGCCACAGGGACACAAGACTGACACCTGGAAGTGCCAGCGTTGGGAGACTCAGCCCCTGACATGATGGGAAGAGGCGGCCTCGGGGTGCAGCTTCCTGGGAGTGAGCTGAGGACGGGCCGGGGTCCGACCCCTCCCCGAATCCCCTGCCCGAGGCTGTGCCTCTCCCAGGCGGACCTGCCCCTCACCCTGCTCCTCTCCTTCCCCATGACCGCCAGCATCCCCCCACGACTGCCGGCCCCCAGGCATTGTGGGGTCACCGTGGCAGCACCCCCACCACTCTCCCGCGGACGCTGTCGGCAGAGGCCCCGGCGAGCCGGCTCCACCACGCAGGCTGCCCGCCCGCACCCGAGTCGGGGCCACGACTGAACCAGCGCCGCCCACCAGGGCAGGATGCCTCTCGTGACCGGCCGGGATCGGGGAATGGCGTGAGCGGCTGCCCCTCCCCCCCTCGGCACACGCCTGTCCTGTGGGCGGCGGCACTCACTTTGGAGTAGGGGTCCGGGAAGTTGAACTCATTCAAACAGTGCTCCCGCGTGTCCAGCAGGCTGCGCACGGTCAGGGTCCCGTAGGCGCTAGGGACAGACCACAGTGCAGGGCGCTGAGCAGGGCGGGCCGGGCACCCGCCGTCCGCACCCTCAGCCCCACCGGGGACGTCCTCGAGCAGCCCGGGCAGCCCCAGGGTTGCCAGGAGAGTGAGGAGGCCTCCAGGGTTACCACGGCCACTAGGCCTGCGCCCCGCGCCCCGCGCCCACCAGCGGGCTCCGAACGCCTACAGCAGGGCTGCTGCTCAGAGTGCAGGGGCCGCCCGGCTGCGGCAGGGCACGGCCACGTGCTGGGCATGGGACACTCACAACGGCTGCTGTCTCAGCGTCTGCAGCTTGTTCCAGTACTTCTGCCGGAACTTCTCTGCCCTCTCCGCGGCGTCGGCGGCATCGGGCTGGCTCGCCACGGCGCGCTTCACGACCTGCCGACAACAGGGTGGTCAGCGGCCGCCCGCCTGCTCCCTGGGGCCGAGGCCCCACAGGCAGCTGCGGGGGGCGGGGGCGGGGCGGGTCGCAGGCCTTGCGCCGAGCGGCTCCTGCCGGAGCTTCTCTCCTCGGAGCCCTCACCCCGTCCAGGGCCTCCTCGAAGCAGGTGAGCCAGTACTTGCGGGCCAGCGCGTCGTCCGTGAGGTCCACCGTGTCGGGCACGTAGGAGGACGGGTCCAGGAGCAGGGGCAGGTTGACCAGGGGCCTCTCCAGCCGGTCCATTTCCAGCAAGTCAAACTGGGATGACAAGGAACACCGTGGGTTCCAGAAAGACCGGAACACAGCCCGGCCCCAGAGGGACGTCCTCACACAGCCCGGGAGCCCAAGGGGACCAGGAGAGCGAGGAGGCCACGGGGGGCTGCGGCCACCGGGCCGTCTCCGTGAGAATGGGTGAGGCTGGCCACGCGGCCTCTGCGCGCACCCGCCCTTCCGGTCAGACGCGAGCCCTTGGCCAGGAGCCTGAGCCACTCTCCACACTGCTACACGGTTGCCACCCTCCTGCAGTCACCTCCTCCTCCTCCGCCTGCAGGCGCCCCGTCTCCAACCCCTGCAGCCATCCCCCTGAGGATACCGCTGCCCGCCAAACGCTGGCAGCACCCCTACCCCACCACCCTCATCCTCCTGGCAGTCCGCCCCCACTGCCGCCCCCAACCCCTGCAAACCAACCCCTTCCGCCCCACCCCATGCAGTCCCCAACCCTATCCCTACCACCGCCTCAATCCTCCCATGGCAGTTCCCCCCCACCTGCAACACCCTCCCCGCCACCTCCTGCCGCCACTCTCCTTTCTCCCTGGCAGTGGCCCCTCCCCCCCAACCCCTGCAGTCCACCCCCATCCCCCTGCCCCCAAACGCTGCAGCCACCCCTACCCTGTCACCACCTCATCCTCCCTGCAGTCGCCACTCGCCCCACCCCTGCAACACCTCAGCCCACCCACCTGGGCACATACCCTATCGCTACACCCCTCATCCTCCCTGCAGTTCCCCCCCACCCCTGCAACACCCCGCTTCCCCACCGTCGCGTCACACAATCGACACCCCATTACACTCCTGCAGCTTAGATAACCCATTACCTACCCCCACCAAGCCTATAACAGCACCTGCAGCTCCTACGGTCTTCTAATGAACACCTAATATATCTGTGGAGCGCCCAAAGGCGCGCCAGCGAAACGTTCTAAACAAGCCTCTTATACTCCCACTTACCCGCCTGATCACCGCTCATCCTCCCCTTAAGCATCCGCCACACTCCGCAATCTTCATTGTTTTTTTGCGCCAACGCCAAACGCCCTCAATTCACTCTAGGTCCTCCTTCTCCAACAACACACACAACTTATTCGACCCTGCACGCACAAACCCTATCTCTAGTTCCAACCCGCGATTACCCATCCTCCTCCTATGCATGTTCACCATCCTCTGTCCATTACTAAATCAATTGTCCTGCAACAACCCCTTGCCCCCACCCCATGCCACTCTCCTTCTCCTGCAGTGGCCCCTCCCCCCAACCCCTGCAGTCACCCCCTCCCCTGCCCCCAAACGCTGCAGCCACCCCTACCCTGTCACCCCTCATCCTCCCTGCAGGTCACCCCCTCCCACCCCTGCATCAGCCCCTCCTCGCCCCCACGCCTGCAGCCACCCCTCCCCCCCTGCAGTCACCCCTCAGCTGTCACCCTCCCCTTCCTGCTCACGCTGTTTCCTCTTTCTCGCCAGGGGCTCCCCAGACAACCTGAGCGCTGCATCCTGCTGCTCCTCCCCAACTGACCTGACGGCGCGCCAACAGGCAGCCCCCACCGCCAGGCAGCCCCCGCACGCTCCCTCTGCCGACGGCCAGTTGGCCCCAAGCTGCACCTGGGTGTCCTCGGATGAGTACTCTCTACTTTATGAGGGGAAGGGGGAGCTGGACCCCGTGTGCCCACCGGCCCAGTGGCACCCGCCCCAATGCAGCGAGGGGACACAGTGCAGCGGGCTCCTCCCACCCTCCAGGGCCTGTGCGTGGCCCTCCCCAGCGGGAGCACCTCCGCCTGCAACCCCTGGGGCTGGAGAAGCCCTGGGCTGCCTGGCCGAGGTCCCCTCCGCCAAGATGCAGAAACACCCGTGTGATGGACCTCAGACAGAAGGAGCCGGCGGATTTCCGAACTCAGGAAGGAAGCGCGGCACGTGGCTGCTGTTCTCCACGCCCTCCTTGCCACCTGCCTGCCTGGCGGCCTTAAGGCCCCTGCTGCTCTCCTGACAAAGCGGGGCTCAGATCTCGGCTCTGCCTTTTTCGGGGTACATAAACCCACAGCAATGACTTGGTCTCTCCAAGCTTCCATCAGTAACAGGGGGATCCAACTTCTCCTGGGGCGGCGTCCGCAGGCCTCGTAAGCTGGCCCTCCCCGTACACGGCATCGCTGAGCAACACCCCTGCCACCCACGTCACACAAGGGCACCAACAAAGGACAGCTGCCCGCTCAGAAGTTAGATTGACAATCGCTGGGCAGACATTTGCCCAATCGCAAGCAGGCTGGGAGACACCGGCCCCTCCTCCCGATGCCAGTCCCTGGTGCCGGCGGGGCCAGGAGCCGGCGCGCTGCCCACCCTGGGCCCTTCTGCCCCTGCCCTGCCCTGCCCTGCCCTCTGGCCATGGCGCACTGCAGACAGGGACGCGCCGAGTGAGATGGAGGGAGCGCTCCTGAGAAGCTGCACCACCACCAGGTGTGATGCCGACAGGGCCCCGCTCGCTACGGGACCTGCACCCACCAATGAGAAGCAGCCTCCCGTCTCCTCGTGGGCGGCCTACCCTGAAGGTGTTCTGAGTCGCGCCTCTGGGCAACACGGCTGCCACGGAAGTCACAACCCAACCGGGAGGTGTGGTCGCTGGGCCTGGCGGCCCAAGGAATGGTAGCAATTTTCACGTGACAAAGCCGTGCTGCTGCTGCAGCTCTAGCCCAGGCAGCCCCCAGCGTGCCCCTCCCTGCCCACCACCCCACGGCGCTCTGCCCCGCTCAGGCCAGGGCAAAACCACGGTCGCGTCCCGTGCGCTGCACCCAAGCAGGGGTTTGAGGAAAGGACCCCGAACCCTCCGAGGAGAGCAGGCTTGGTCCCGGACGTGCGACCGTCAGACCAGGGAAACAGCCTGTGGCCCCAGGGCCTGACCCTGACTCTGCCGAGACTTGCCCAGGCCCCAGGGCGGCCCCTGCTTGTCCCTGAACTGCGGCGTCCTCCCCGCAAACAGAGGGCCCAACCACACACACGAGGCTCCTGCAGAGTGTCCCGGAAACACGAGACCACCACGCAGGGAAAGGAGATGCTGCAAACGTCTTTCTTCTGCTCTCCGCTCAAGCCCCACCGCAACTGGGTGAAAGCCCGTCTGCGCCGCGAGGGGTCTGCGCACTGGGCTGTCTCACGGACGGTGGACGGCGCCCAGCGCAGGCCGCCCCCTTGGGACCCCCGATGGCCAGAGCCGCTACTCACGGTGCCGCTCCTCGCCCGCTGCGTGGGGCCCAGCTCGGGCGCCGTGCTCATCAGCCCGGAGCTGCCCGCGTAGTTCTCCCCCCAGCTGTACTGGTTGGGGTCTGGAACGAGAGGTGCGGGCCGTGTCAGCCTTGCCTCGATCAAGAGGGGAAGGGGACAGGAAAGGGGACAGACTTGTTCCGTTAACCCCGAGGCCCCACGCCCCCCCACACACTGCATCCCTGGACCCTGTGCCGCCCTGACCAGGAGCAGGGCCACGGCCACGGCCCACAGCCCCGCGTGGCCGGGGCTGCCACGGGAGCTCAGCTCTACTCACTGTCTTGCTCGGCCCCCTTCAGGAATGCGCCAATGGCGCCCAGGTAGCCTTCATGCCTCAGAAACAGCGCCTGGACTTCCCCCTGCACGGCCAAAGCCCACGAGTGGCTGGTCAGAGGCCCCACGTGGCAGTGGGCATCGCTCTGGACCAGCTCGACACAGGGGCTCCCTCTGCGTGGCCCGACCCTTCCCAAACACCGTCCCCGACACGCCGGTCAGTGCAACCGCCCCTGCCGCCGCTGTGACCTGAGAGTGAGCGCTTCCACCAGGGAACAGCCGCTTCCACGCGACTACCCACCACCCGGTCGGGATGCTGGCGGGCAGGCTGCTGGGGCAGCCCAGCACAGGAGGGCAGGCCCACCTGGCGGGCACTGCACCGCGTCCCCAAGCCCCTCTGACCCCGGTCGACAGTGACACCACCACTGGGAACATGCTAGACTCAGTGGCGGCCACAGGGCCACGAGGCACAGGGAGCCCGGAGCCCACCAGGGGAGGGGGACGGCCCTGGGGTGGCGTCACTTTTGAAGACACCGAGGGCCTGCGTGAGGTGACAGGGGCGAAAGCAGCATGCAGTGGCCAGGAGGGCGGCGCGTTACCTTGGAGAAGAAGTTGATGCTGTAGGTGATGGTGCGCATGGTCACGGGGTGGCCCCGGATGAAGAAGCCCCCGAAGTACACCCGGCCCAGGCCGTGCAGCTTGGCGTGCAGACAGGCGAGCTGGCCGATGTCGTTGCTGATCATGTGCAGCAGGCTCTTGGCCATGTCCTCCTTGGAGAACTCTGCGGCAGAGAGCGACAGGCGTGTCGGCCGGCTGGGCAAACCGCGTGTGGCGCGTGAGAGGTGGAGGGACACGGGGCTGCAGTGTGAGCGCTACAGAGAGGTGGAGGGACGGGGGAGGGGAGACACAGTGAGGGGGAGGGGGAGGGAAGCACTGCGGAGAGCTCAGCCGGAGCACAGGTGCCAATCGCTCCTGGATGGACCAGGCTTTGTTTTCAAGGTGGAGAGGACCCTAACCACTTTCCCTAACTCATAGGAACCAACTACCGTTTTTCTCCCCAAAACAGAGACTGACGGAATCTATTTGCCGTCATTCTCTAAGCACAAAACATGCTTGTGCCACACGTAAGCTGCAGTAACCGGGGCAGGGAAAGGTCACGGGGCTGATACCCGAGACCCCACCTGTCCAAGTGATGGCCGGTGGGAAGACCGGTGTCCAGGGAACGTGGCCGTGCCGCTGCCGAGGTCCCTGGGCGATGCCTGGGCCCCCAACGGGCCAGGGGCCGGGGCAGGTACCTTTGTCGGTGGTGGCTGACTTCCCGAAGCTGCTGGCGATGAGGTTGCCACTCAGCCCCAGCGTCTGGTGTGCGCCCCCGTAGACGTCCTGCACCAGCATGTCCACGTTCGTGTGCTGGCCCTTGGAGGCCAGATGCAGCAGCTCGTCAAACTTCTGCGGGGACAGAGGGGCGGGAAGCAGCAAGCCGGGAGCTGGCGGACCCCACGACCCCAGCGCCAGGCCGGGTCGAGCAGCCCTCTCTCCCCCCGAGTGCGGCCACGGCAGGAGAGCTGAGCAGGACTGCGGGCCGCTCCGGGCACTCGGCCACTCCCCCCACCCCCTCACCCCAGCACAGAGTCGGGGGAGGCCAGGGAAGGAGCAAATTGCAGGCCGCACAGCCTCAGCCCCTGCAGAGGGCGGGGAGCAGAAACCCCACGCCCAGGAGCACGTCCACGCAGCCCGCGTACCTTCGTCCCGGTGAGCAGAGCCCCGAGCCCCCAAAAGGTGCCGCCTCCGATGGAGCTGCCGCCAACCCACTCGAACCTGTCCTCGGTCTCCACCTGGGCGGGGCAGGGCGGGGCAGGGCGGGCAGTCAGCAGGCAGCCCCCAGTCACAGTCACGCAGGTCCCTCCCCCAGCACCACTGAGGGCCGCCGAAGCCGGCAGACAGGACCACTGTGCTGACGGCAGCCATGAAACCGTGGCATCGTCTCCGTGAATGCCGGCCCCTGCCAGGTTCGATGCTGCCCCGTGCGTGGCACCGGCCCCCACTCGGGGCAAACGCTGACATACAGCTCCCGAACCATCCATCCATTCATTCATTCATTCATTTATTCATTCATTCATTCATTCATTCACTTCACGAAGCCTAGTCTCACCTTGACAATGGACACTCCGGAACCGATATTAACAAGAAGGTAGGGGAAGATGTTGGGGTGGTTTGTCTGAAATCGGAACTCGGGGTCGGAATCTTTCTGATAGATGAAGGCCTCTTGCGGGATGTTCTTCAGCACAAAATTGCACCCCTTAATCAAGCATGTCATCACGTCCTGCTTGTCAACCCTGAAAAGGAAGGAGCCTGACCCTTAAAGTGTCCCAGCCACGGGAAGGGACTGCCATGGTCAGCCTGTCTGGCCGAGGTCGCAGGGCACGCCCCGCCCGGCACAGCCACCCGTGGACGTGGTGCCGGCACAGCCGAGCTCAGGCTTTCAAAAGCGGCAACTGCCAAGGCAGCCACGGCACTAAGCACTGGGCCCCACGGCTCTGTTCCCTCCACAGCCACGTGGGAGGCCCACGGGAGAAGCGGGGTGGCCGCGTGTCCTTTCCTTGCCCGTGAGGCCCCACTCACTTCAGCCGCAGCTTCTCTTCGATGAGGTCCTTAAACTTGTACGCCCCGCCTCCTGTGGCCTGGATGACCTTGGTCTCTGTGTTGACCAGGTGGTCCTTGATGAAGTCCAGGCAGGCTTCGATGTAGGTGTTCTCAAACTTAATGAAATGCAGCCGAGCAGTGAACTCTTCCTGCTCAGAAATCTCGTAGGGCGGCTCATGATCGTGTTCTGCGTCCTGGAAAATAAAGTCAGGACGTCTGCGTGAGCTGGGGAAGGGGGCAATGTGCAGGGGCCTGGTCCCTGAGCACCCCTGCCCACAGCCCCCGGCCACTTGCGTCAGCCTGGAAGTGGGCGGGGCTCCGGACGCAGGCTACAGTTCCCGGGCAGCGTCCTGGGCCAGAGGGCGGGGCCCAGGCAACGAGCCCCCCGGGGCTGCTCCAGAGGGAGGGAGAACCCACCAAGGAGCAGGAGCAGGTGCCGGGGTTCCTGCCAAGGGTCTTGCAGGGAAACCGAGCGCAAGACAGGGAGGGCCGTCCATACTAAAAACTTCCAAGAACAGCTAAGTGAGTTTTGCAGAAGGGTGACAGACAGAGAAGTGCCGAGTCCAGGATGACAGGGAAGTAGCTGCTCGGTCCAGGTGGCCGCAGCGCAAGCTCACCTTTCCTGAGTGGTCGAAAGACCTCACTCTGGCGACCTTGTGCTGCACGGTTGAGTAGTAGGCCAGCTTGGTTAAGGATCCACCTGGAAGGGGAGACACGAACCAGGCGAAAGTCAGGCCTGGGGAGGGAAGGAGGCCTGGGGGGGGGTCCATCCCTCCTTGAGCTCTTTGGGGCATTTCAGGATGTTTCAGTGTCCAAGAAGCCCAGAGTCTCTGTGGACAAGGTGTTTGGTGCTACCTGAACTTAAAAACTCTGTGGGCACAAAACAGAGGAAAGGGGAAAACGAACTAACAAATCCAAATGCTTCTTTCCTTTAAAAGTTCTTTTTGTCCTCAGGTCCCCAGCCACACTGAGCTTGAGATGTTCCTCCCCCCACCCCCAGCACGACCAAGTCCTGAAGAGGAGAGGAAACCCCCACTTTCTGGGCAATGCTGGCAATCCGGTTCAAGAAATTTCAGTTTCAAGCTCTGGTCTAATAGCAATAAGCTGACAAGTCCAGGTGTTTTCATTTGGAAAAGCACACACCTGGCTGCCCATCTTACCAATGGGGCAGGCAGCAAGGACCTTCTCACAGAACGCGGGGGACAACAGGGCCAGGAAGCTGCGTCTCTGCCCCCCCAGAGGCTCCGAGCTGGAGGATGCAGCCCAAGCCCCCAAAGCAGCCAAAGGAATCACACAGGGGCCACCCACGTCTCCTACCCCACGGGCCAAAGTCCTTTTACGTTCTCAAGAAGCCCCGTGGCCCCTCGGATGTTGTGTGTGATCAGAGTTTGAACTAGATATCAGGAAACAGAAGAGGCCTTTATTCAGCTGAAATACATTTTAGGGAAAGTTAAAAAGATTCTGAAAGAAGATATTTTCAAGGATAAACTTCAGTGTGCTCTTCATCTTCTTCTTTTTTTTTTTCCCAGATAGCATCTCACTCTGTCACCCAGGCTGGAGTGCAGTGGTGTCAGCCTAGCTCACTGCAGCCTCCAACTCCTGGGCTCAAGAGATCCTCCTGCCTCAGCCTCCCTGAGTAGCTGGGACTACAGGTGCACACCACCACGGGCAGCTCATTTTTCTATTTTTAGTAGGGATGAGGTCTCGCTCTTGCTGAGGCTGGTCTTGAACTCCTGGCCTCAAGTGATCCTCCTGCCTCAGCCTCCCAGAGTGCTAGGATGACAGGCTTGAGCCACGGCGTCCCCCCCTCAGTGTGCTCTTCAAAGTCAGAGAAGAGGCATTTTCGAGGCTGCATTACCTTCACAGACCTGAAGGCCCAGGAGCGACGCATACAGGAGAAACCAAATGCTCAGCGCTACAAAAGGACTTAGGGAAACTGCATTTCTTATGGGGCCTGGCAAAAATCCTACGTTATAAAAGGAGGCTAAAATGACTTTCAAACGCTTGTTTTGAGGCAAAATACTAAAGGAATATGTGAGAACAAACACTCAAGTCAGTAAATGGCTTTGGAAACACCCCAGGATCTGAGAGCCAAAGCTGCTCCACTTAACAAAAATGAACACAGCCAAGGTCAACTGCAGCTACATTTCAGAAACATTTAGTCCCAGCACGTTCCCCCCAGCGTGAGGGCAGCAGAAGCCCAGGACCCCTCAGGGCACATACTTCACTGGGCGTGGGTGGAGGCCTCAGAATACTGGGGAAGCACAGCTGGGCAGCCGCTGAGGAGGCCCCATGTGGGTGGTCCCTGGGCTGGGCCTGCAAGTGCACCACCTCCAGCCCAACATCCAGTGGGTCACCGAGTCCTTTCAGATCTCCCTCCAAATGCCTTATATGCATCCTCACACCTGCCATTAGGCCACGCCCCCCGAAAGCACCGCCCCTTGTAAATCACTGAAAGGTGGGCACTCTAGGGCTAGGCCACGTTTCCATTCTCATTGCTCCCCACTTCCCTGGAGGCCACCCTCCTTCCTGACTGGGGCACCTTGGAAGATGGTGACATGCCAAGCCCAAGACTCCAGCGACCCTGAGGACACTACAGCACTGAATCCGTTGAACCAGCCAGAAGCAAACAGCTCAGAGGGGAGGGCCCGGGTCTGTCTCTGATGTCCCAGCTTTTCCAGGGAGGTGAGAGGCAGCCAGTGGTTTGTCTACTCACTCAGGAATTTACTGAGCAGCTAAAACAGGTCTGGGGTCCTACTGGGGGATGGGGCTTCAAGACAGCAGACACCACCCTGCCCTGGTGAGCTTCACTGTCCCACACTGGCAGCAAAGGGCACGCAAGCAAACTCAGCTTGCAGCTGAAGTCCTGGCTAAGAGGGAGAGGTATGCGAAGCCACAGTGGCCCAGTCAAGGGGGGCTTCCCCTGGCGAAGCCATCCCCAGGAAGCCCTCCCACAGGAAACATGGGCAGAGCAGGTGGGGTGGGTGGAGTTCCAATCCTGGCTCTGCCACTGACCAGCCAGGTGACCCTGGGCAAGTAAGGGCATCGTTGTGTGGAGTAACTGGAGGGGTTAGTGGGGGGCGTCGGGGAAGGGTCTGGAAGGGGCCTGGCGCATGGTCAGTACTGAGAGTGTAGCCCTGGGCACCGGGGGCTGGAGGGGCGGGAGGGTCTGCAGCAGAGCCCAGAGGGCCACCCTGAAAGCCACGGGAAGGCACGAACTCGCAGGTTCCACGTCCACGGCTGTCTGCACTCGCGCCAGGGGTCCGCTGGGCCGGGCGTGGAGCCGGACTCCGGGCTGGGCCCACGGAGCCTGTGTCGTCCTCATCTAGGCCACACACAGGACTCCTAACCTTGGGCCGCCCACTGGTGGAAGCGGGGCTGGGCCGCCTAGCTGCTCACGCGACCGCAGATTCGGACCCTCCTCCCTGCGGTGACACTGGACCCCGGCCCCCCCGGGCTCATGGTAGCGGCGCGCGGACTACGAGACCCAGCATGCCCCGCTCCGGCCCGCGAGGTGCCTGCCGGGAGTTGTAGTCTGGCCGCTACGCCGAGCCCGCGCGCCTGCGCCCCGCGGACTACGAGGCCCGTGAGGCTGTGCGCGGGGCCGCGGACTACGAGGCCCGTGAGGCTGTGCGCGAGGACCGCGCCCCCGCCCTTCGTCCTTCCCGCCGCCCCCGCCCGCCGCCTGCGGCCCGCCCCTCCCGCGCCCCGTCCGCGCCCGCCGCCCGGCCGCGGCTACCGATGTCGATGGCGAAGCGCTTGGCGTTCTCCAGGTTGCGGAAGATCTCGTCGGGGGGCAGCGTGATGCTCTTGTCCAGGCTGTCCCCGCTGCTCCCGCCGCCGCTCGCTCCACACTCCGCCATTTTGAAAGTGCCCGGCCAGCCTTATCAGCCATGGAGATATATGCGCATATATTTGACTGCTAAACGCCCCGTGCATATATTATGCTAATGAGGTCCGCCCCCCTGCCTGCGCGGGCTCGCCGGCCGCGCGGGCTCTGGCCAGTCCTGGGCAGGGTCTGCCAGGCCGGGGCCGCGAGAGCGCGCGCGGTCATGCCCCGGAGCCCGAGGGTCGGCACGGGGCGTCTGGAGCAGTGTCCTTCCCCGCCGGCCTGACGCTTAGCGCGACTGCAGAGGCCTGCTGGGCCGTTAGGCCGGCCCAGCTCAGCTCCCAGGGAGGGCGCCTGCCAGGGTCCCGCCCTCCTCGGTGCCTGTCGCCTGCCGGGAGCGTGGCCCCGAGCGCCAAGGCGAAGGTCGTGTGGCCTCGTGGGGGTGCCCCGCTTCTTGGCTCCCCAGGGTGTGACACTTCCAGTGCCAAACCACGCAAGCTGGGGGAGGTGGGAACCCTGCCCTGGGGGAGCCCCAGCCCCGTGGGCCATGCGTGAGCCAGGAAAGATGTGCGCTTTAGGGTGATCTCAGAGACTGCAGGGAACAGGCTGCGAAAGCTCCTCAAACTGGAGCAGGGATACGGGTGGGGGCAGGTCGGGGTTCCAGGTGAGTCACCAAGAAGCCCCTGCTGGTTGGAGACCCTTGAGAGACATGTGCCCTCCAGAGGCCCTGGGCCTTTGCGCCCAGTGTTGAACACAGACCGAAGGGGCCCTAAGGTGGCTTCAGCACCTGCTTCTCGGTGACCCTGGGCCTGTCACTGCGTGTCTCTGGCCCTCAACCTCTGACTGCACACTGAGGATGACACCAGCTGCCTGGCGGGGCTCCTGGGGACACAGGCCGTGGGGCAGCACAAACTCAGAGCTCTGGGGATGACACGTCAGTGTCAGGCAAGGCTTCGGGGAGGAGGCAGCCTGGTGTGTGCCTTCCAAGGGCACAGGTGTGCCGCCCTGGGTGGGGGAGCCTGCCCAGGGGGGCCTGGGGGCAGGGGCAGAGCAGGTGTGCTCCAACACCCCCCCACCCCCCGCAGAGGTGCGCCCTAGGCCAGCCTGGCGGATGCACACCCCACCAGGGCAACATCATCTGACCCCACACGCCATGCAGCACACATGTGGAATGAATGGGAACCCTCTCTGTCCCGTTTTCACCACACCCAGGGCTCAGCAGGGACCCCAGGAGGCTGGCCTGGAGGAGCACCCCATTTGGACATTCCCTGCAGAGCCGACAGAAAGGGACAGAGGGGTGCAGAGCAGGCTCACGCTTGGGCCATTGTGCAGAGGGTGTGGGA